CACTTGATAACAGAAATCACATAACGAAATAATATAAATTAATGAAATTGGTATGGCTCAAATGTGATAAACATAAATTTGAAGGGATATAGGACTACGAGCCGTGACAGGGTGTTAGTGTCCAAATATTTTATTCTAAATTTATTGCGAAAAAATAATCACCTCGGCCAGGGTGTGAACTTGGACCTCCCTCTCGCTAGGCGGGCGTCTCAACCAATTCGACCACCGAGACACATGGCAACATTCATCGCAATAAACGGTCTAATGTTGATTGGAATCCCCATTTTCGCAATAAATTTAGAATAAAATATTTAGACACTAACACCCTGTCACAGCTCGTAGTCCTATATTCCTTCGAAATAATATAATTTCCCGCGAAAGGTTTATTGCACGTAAGAAATGAATCAAATTTTGAACTTACTTTTAAAACTTGTTAGTAAATACTTCCGTTAATTAATCTCTGATATAACTTTTTTGTACTTTTATTCGCGATGCGTGTGCACGCTAATTGCAAATGAGCCGGGCAATAAAGGAAAGCGGGAACAAAGCGACCAACGGAATTGCAGTGAGTTGCTTGCGCGATTGTCGGGACCTCTTAGGTCCAGTTGCAACGTATCTGTCCGAAATTGTTTGATGGGGTTTAAATATACGATGCGCTGCGCGGCCGCACGGCGCGCGCGGATTTCAATTCGGCGCGCGGCCGTATCAGCCGAAATTCGAGCGAAACTTAAATTTAAGCGCCTTCGCTCCTGGCGCGCGACAGCCGGCCGATTTCTCGGCCTCGCGACGCCAATGTAAATTTAACGTCGTTCACGCCGGATCTCGCGGGAAGACCGACAGGCTCATCTCGCGACTGACACTCCCGTCCGGCACGCGGAAAGCGTAATTTGCGTTTATGGGTGAACAGGTGTTGTATCTAGGAAGAGAGTATAATAGAAAGAAAAGTGGAATGAAAGAGAGAGCGAGAGAGAGAGAGAGAGAGAGAGAGAGAGAGAGAGAGAGAGAGAGAGAGAGGGAGGGAAGATCAATTTATTATTATCCTGGGACAAACCCCCGAGATAACCTCGAACCTATTTAAAGGGGAAAAAAGGGAGACTCTGGTGTGAAGGAGAGAATTTATCGTTCGGGAGCGAGTTAATTGATAAAGTAAAGAAAGGATAAGAGATATGCTCAATCCAACAGAACTCAATCTTTCTAAATCTTTTTTTACTTACTCAACAAGGAAATATCTTTATTGTCAGGTATATTTATCATGTATCTATACTAGATATATAATGTAAGAGAGAGAGAGAGGACGGACATGGATGTAATTCAAGTAGAGATAGACCGGTTGCGGTCAGACATTTTTTCGTGCCGGGCGCGTCGTTACCGTTTCTACTACGATGACTGTCGCGCTGCTGTGATAGTCACATACGTGATTTCCGTCCGTTTCGTTTTTACATCGATCAACAGAATTATCCACAATGAATTACAAACACTGGAAATGGGAAATAGACGACGCGCATGAATTATAAGAGACACTCCAAGAGACGTGACGAGCGAATAGGTGAATTGTACATATTGAATAACGTGCGACACGTGCGTTATATTACCGATTCGTTTGTAAATAATTTACGAACTTATAAAAATATGTTTGCCAGAGGGGTCGTGATTTGAGCGAGGACGCCATTTATTATTCGGCATAGCCGAGTGAGCGCGCGACGGGTTTTCCTGCAATAGAATATTTTTATCTCGCATGTCGCATTTCGACCGGTCGGATATTCCAGGAAACAGCGCGTATATACGAATATACCGGTCGCGGAGGAAAATTTCCGATTCATCCGCCCCGACTTAAGCTCGAAATCAATTATTCATTGCGCTCAATGGAGCGGTTGAAGCGAATTTTGCCCCGGCTCCACGGCCGCCTTACGTCAAACGAAACTAATAAGCCAGTCTGCGTGTGTGTGTACGTGTGATCAAATTTAAGGTAAAACTTAAATTTGAATGGGATCGATCGCCGGGATGGGATCGCAGCCGGGCTTTAAATTTCATTTGAGATACGACCGAAATACACTCCTGGGAGTATCATTTCTCATCGTTAATGGCGCTTAGGTTCTCGCCTCGTTACGAAACATTTTAACTCCTTACGGCCGCAACGGGCCGTGAGGTATCAGCAGTCTTACATTTAAACGATAAAAAATCGCGGAATATATTTGAAGATGAGTTACTTGATTCTTGGGCAGTCTTGCTTTTATCATTTTTATTATTCGGTTTGTATATTATTTCCACATTTGATTCAACAATCATTTTTAACCGATTCGCAGTTAATGAAGATAATAAAGTTAGTCTCGGCTGTTTTATTATGCGGGAAACGGAAGCGTTGAGGGAACGTGCGGGGGAAGGAACGCCGCGTGGTAAATTCATTTCTCCCCGAAATTGATTTATAAAATATATTAATACCCGTGCAATTCATCTCGTTATGAAAATTATTATTGTATCGATCTAATTTCCTTGAGCGACGATTCCACCTCGCGCGAAATTCAATCCGATTCATCGAGTTATCCGGGGTAAAGGATTTAA